AAAAATGCACACACAGAAGAAGAACTAGATAAATGGGACCTCCTAAAAATTAAACGCTTATGCTCAACAAAAGACTTCTCCAAAAGAGTAAAAAGACAACTTACAGATTGGGAAAAAATTTTTGGCTACAACATATCTGACAAGGGTCTAATCTCTAAAATTTATAGAAAACGTCAACACCTCAACAACAAAAAAAGACAAATAATCCAATTAAAAAATGGGCAAAGGATATGAACAGACACTTCGCCAAAGAAGACATTCAGGCTGCTAACAAACATACGAAGAAATGCTCACGATCATTAGCAGCTGAAAAACCAAAATCAAACTCCCTGCTGTCAAGTTGATTCTGACTCATAGCGACCCTGTGGGACGGAGTAGAACTGCCCCATAGGGTTTCCAAGGAGCAGCTAGTGGATTTGAACTGCTGACCTTTTCGTTAGCAGCCAAGCTCTTAACCACTGAGCCACCAGGGCTCCCATTAGCAATTAGAGAGATGCAAATCAAAATTACAATGAGATACCATCTCACCCCAACATTACTGACACTAAAAAAAAAAAAAACAAAAAACAGAAAATAACAAATGTTGGCAAGGATGTAGGGAGATTGAAACTCTTATACACTGCTGGTGGGAATGTAAAATGGTACAACCATTATGGAAAACACTGCAGTGCTTTCTCAAAAGGCTAGAAATTGAAATACCATATGATTCAGCAATCCCACTCGTACGTATACACCCGAAAGAAATAAGACCCATAACACAAATAGACATATGCACACACACGTTCATTGTAGCATTATTCACAATAGCAAAATTGTGGAAGCAACCTAAGTGCCCATCAACAGATGAATGGATTAACAAACTGTGGTACATATACACAATGAAAACATCTCACAACATGGATGAACCTGGAGGGCATTATGCTGAGTGAAATAAATCAATGGCAAAAAGACAAATATTGTATGAGACTGCTATTATAAAGTAACAACAAAAGGTTTCCACACAGGAGGAAAAAAAAACTTTGTTGGTTACTAGGGATGGGAAAGGGAGGGAGGGAAAATTACCAAAAAGATAGTAGACACGTGTTAATATTGGTAAAAGGAAAGGCAATACATAATATGGAAGAAGTCAGCACAACATGACCAAGGCAAGAGAGGACACTGAGAGGAACACAGGAATAAAGGACAACTATGGTAACTACTACAGCATAGACAATCCTGCAACAATAGAATCAACAAACAATAATCTGTGAATGGATACATAGATAGATATGCCAAGAGGTAAGGGAGCAGGTAAGGGAGGACACCCACTGGCAGATACAGGTTCAGTGGTGGAAATTTCTAAATACATGACTGTCTGTAGGTGCTTGTTATGGATTAAATTGTGTCCCCCCAAAATTTGTACCTTCGTGGCTAGGCTATGATTCCCAGTATTGTGTGGTTGTCCACCATTTTGTCATCTGATGTATTTATCCTATGTGTTGTAAATCCTTTCTGATGTTAATAAGGCAGAATTAGAGGCAGTTATGTTAGTGAGGCAGGACTTAATCTACAGCATTATGTTGTATCTTGAGTCAATCTCTTTTGAGATATGAAAGAGAGAAGTGAGCAAAGAGGAGGAAGACCTCATACTGCCAAGAAAGAAGCACCTGGAGTGGAGCTCATCCTTTGGACCCAGGGTCCCTGTGCGGAGAAACTACTAGACCAGGGGAAGATTGATGACAAGAACCTTTCCCTAGAACCGACGGAGAAAGAAAGACTTCCCCTGGAGCTGGTACACTGAATTTGAACTTCTAGCCTCCTAAACTGTGAGAGAATAAATTTGTTTGTTAAAGCCATCTACTTGTGGTATTTCTGATATAGCAGCACTAGGTAACTAAGACAGCGCTCCTCATATATTAATACACACAATAGAGCACCGAAGTGGCACAGTCAGGAAAACCTTTTAGACATAACAAACACCTCACGGGATGAAGTTCCCAAGCTTGAAGGCAAAGGACCATAGACTCAGAGGATATCTATGTCAATTCGTATAAAGTAGTTCTTAAAGACAATGTTCTACATCCTACTTTGGTGAGTAGCGTCTGGGGTCTTAAAAGCTTGCGAGTGGCCGTCTAAGATACAACTATTTGTCTCTTCTAGTCCAGAGCAAAGGAGAGTGAAAAAAAACTAAAGACTCAAGGGAACAATTAATCCAAAAGACTAATGGACCACATGAACCACAGCCTACACTACCTCAAGACTAGAAGAACTTGGTGATGCCTGGCTATGAGTACCGACTGTTCTGACTGGGATCACAGCAGAGGGCCCCAGACAGAGCAGGAGAAAAATGTAGAACAAAAGATCAAATTTACAAAAAAGACCAAAGACTTAATGATCTGACAGAAACTGCAGGGACCCCTGAGACTATGATCCCCGGACATTCTTCTAACTCAGAATTGAAGCCACTCCTGAAGTTCACCTTTCAGCCAAAGATTAGGCAGCCCTATAAAACAAACAGTAGCACCCGTGAGGAACGTGCTACTTAGATCAATCAAGTATACGACAACAAATGGGCAACATCTGCCCAAAAACAAAGATGAGAAGGTGGGAAGGGACAGGAAAACTGGATAAATGGAACCAGGGAAGCCTGGGGTGGAAAGGGATAGGGGGAGAGTGCTGACACAATGCAACCAATGTCAGGAAATAATTTTGTGTGTGTGTGTGTGTGATTCAAACAACATTTATTGTTGGAGTGACTTTATCACAATATAAGTTTCACATATAAGCACTATTTTGTCTTGTAGTTTTAGGTTGAGTTAAGTAAGAAACCTTATCCAGTCTGCAGCAAAGCTAATTCCCAAAGCCATTCAGTGTTTAATAATAGTGGTTGAGTGCAGTTTTTGTTCAGATAAATTTCAATATAGTCATGAGCTTGAAAAATTACAATAAAATTTTACCACTGCTATACCATCAAATTTCTGGTATAGATGGTAGAGCAAGTCAGGATATTCAACTATTTCTGACAAAAAATCATAAAACTGACAATAGTTAAGTTCATGAGAGTTAATAAATTTCCGTGTTGACGCTACTGGTTCAATAATACATGATAGATTCAAATATTTTCTGCAAAGTATCAGTTGATGAATACTGCAATGAATAACCACAAGCTTTAAACACCTTTAAACACCTTATGTTTTCACAAGCTTTGTGAATTTGTCCAACTAAACCTTCTTCTGCTCCACACATATTATACCACCATCACTTGTAACACACATCTTAGCAGATTTCACTTCGGATTATAGTGAACTAGTGCTTTTACAACTTCTTTGAAAATATTCTTGCCTGTAGTTGTCCCGCACAGACTATTCACAGAGGATAATTCTTCAGTCACTTTAAACTCAGCATTGACTCCTGAATAAACAACTGAGCAGTATCAGTAACAACTGTCAATTCACCAAGAGCCAAGGAAAACCACTCAAAATCACTTGCCTTGTTTTTTAATTGACAGTTGATGTTGTTTCCAATGTTATCAACTTCTTGAGCGACTGTTCTTGCAGAAAAGCTAATAGTCTTAAACAAGTAGTTTTGTTTGTGTATTTTTTCATCTGGACACATGTCTTCAGCTCCTACGAACATTTTTAAGTACAGATCCTCAGGGCCCACCTTAGACTTGATGAATCAGAATTTCGTAGGGTGGGACCTAGTAATCTGCTTTACCCAGCTCTCCAAGTGATTACTATGCCTGCTAGAATTTGAGAACCACAGCTGTATAATATTCCATTGTATGAATATTATACAATCTATTCATAAAGTTGCTATGAGTCGGAATTGACTCAATGGCAATGGGTTTGGGGTTTTGTTTTTGTTTGTTTTTATTCATCTAATTTACTGCTAATGGCCTCAGCATCATTTTTGTGTCTCCATAGAAACCGTATGATGAATAAAATTATTTCAGATTTTCCTCCAAATATTACATATTATTTCTTGCCTCTGAACGTTTGCACATGATATCTCATTTACATGCTATGCACTTAATCATTTATAACAGAAACCTTTTTCTCATCTCCTAGTCTGGTACAAATTCCCTTTCTTTCTGATCCAATATGCCCAGTATCTCATCTCTCTCCCTGAACATATTATGTACTTACTAATATGTTTCCTCCACTAGACTGTGAGCTCATTCAGGATAGAAACTGTCTTTTCTTTAAAAAAAAATTTTTTTTATTGTGCTTTAAGTGGAAGTTTATAATTCAAGTTAGTCTTTCATACAAAACTCCATACACACACTGCTGTGCGAACCCAGTTACTCTGTGACCCCAGTTGCTCTGCCTGTACTGTCACAGCACACTCTTCCTTTCTACCCCTGATTTCCCGTGTCATTGTCAGGAAATAATTTGTGTATCCATTTTTGAAAGAGAAACTACTTTGCTCTGTAAACTTTCACTCAAAGTACAATTTTAAAAAAGAAAAAAGGAAGGAATATAGAAGTAGAGATAGAAAACTTACAGCAAAAGCAAATTTTTATGAGAAAATGTTTATTTCCATGTATTTTGACTTGAGTATCAACTTGCATATAATCCCCAGGCATGTTAGATTTTTCTAGTCCCCCCAATCCTTAGATCCTTAGGTTTTTTCCCATGTCTCCCCAGCATATCATCTGCTTATCTAGAGTTCTACTCCTCAGCCCCTCCCACTTCCCCCTTTCCTCTCCACCCCTGCAATGTCTGTTGGAATGGGACGGTCTAGGATAACGGCTGTTTGGTCCCCATGCAAGTCTCTCCATATTCGCATAGGACAGAGAAACTTTGGTGAAAGTTTCTTGCATATCTGCCCTTGGACGAAGGAGCAGGGCTGGGAGCAGAGTAAGGAACAATGTTCTGAAGCTGGTTTTGTGAGTCACTGTGACTCGGCACCGCCCACTGAACAAATTTCACACGCTCAATTTGTGGAAACTGTCAAACGAGGTCCAGGGCTGGGTCTTTCTTGTGGGCTTGTCAGCTCACAGTTATGAGGAAATTGTGGCTGGACAGGCAGTGAAGCAGTCTGCTTCACCTCTCCCTCTGCTCTCAGGTGGCTGCAGAACGGAGGCCTGCAGATTGCCCAGTGAGACAGAGGACCCAGCCTGGCTGCTCTGTCCTATGGGCATGTTGGAACAAGCTCTCACCCTCATGCTCCTCCTGCTCCTCATGGGACATTGGGGCCAAGGTAAGGAGGTCCAGCCTGGCGAGGGGTGGGGGTTGGCATGGACTAGGGGCTGTGCTCCTCGGGGAGATAGAAAATGAGAGCCTCTGGACTGTGCCTCGTCCATAGTCATCTGGAACGGTGACTCTGAGAACTTCTGACAGCTGTGGACACTCTAAGTCAGACAGGGTGGGCTTGCAGTGGGGAGTGAGGTGCTTGAGAGGCACATCTAGCCTGCCCCCAGCTCTCCAGCAGCTTCGGCAGGGAGAGTTCTTTCTCCTGGCTTCTATTTACCTTTCTGTGCAGTGGCGGCAAAGGCCTCTTCCCTGCTGCCTGTGAGGAGAACAAAGTCAGCCTCATGCTCTGACTGTGGTGCGATCATCAGCAGAGAGGAGAAACGGCCCGTGGGTTTGGTTTCTGCAGGAAGTTAGGTGGGTGGTTCTGGAGTTTGTGGACAGACAAATTGATCCTCGAGACAGGAAAGCTGGGCTCTGAGGAGGGAGGGTGAGACCAACGGCCAGGACAGAGCCTGGTCCCAGCTCCTGTGGCAACCCAGAGGCCACAGAGCCTGGGGATTATTAGGGAAATGTTGACCTGAAAGAGGGGGAAGAAGAGATAATATTTGGAAGCCCCACAGCAAACCTGAAATTGTCTGCTGGGCAGAAAGCCCTCTTATGTTTACTTGGGGTGGGTTGGGTATCCCCGCTGAGGGCTGCTTCTCTCTTTCTCTAACCCTGAAGTCCAGGATGCTCTGGGACTTGGATCCTATGTTTTAGTTTGGTGACTATGTGGAGGGCATCGTAGGTGGAGATGAAAGAAGAGAAGCATGCATTCTGGGTACAAAGGGAGGAAACTGAAGCACAGGTTAGTGTTTGTTTAGGGCCGTTAGAAGCCCAATATGGATTAAAAGTCCCATCCCTGGGCACTTTATGATGCTTTATGACAATTTTTTCCTTATCCACGATCTAATCAGGATAATGTCTTACATTCAGTTCTCATGTTTCTTTTGTCATCTTTAGTCTGTAACTGTTTCTGAACCTTTCTTCATCTTTCATGACTGATATTTTTAAGAGCACAAGCCTGTTGTTTTTAGTAGGCCCCTCAACTTGGGCTTGTGTGATGTTTCTGCAGGATGATTCAGGATATGCATGTATGGCAGGAACATCACAAAAGTGCTGCTGCGTCTTTCTCAGTGCTACTTTATCTATTGAAGAATTTAATATGCATTATATATATATATATAGGAATCCCTGGGTGGTGCAAACAGTTAATTGTTCGGCTAGTAACCAAAAAGGTGGTGGTTTGAAACCACCAAGAGGTGCCTCAGAAAAAAGCCTGGAGATCTACTCCCAAAAGGTCACAGCCATTGAAAACCCTATGGAGCACAGTTCTACTCTGACACACATGGGGTCACCATGAGTCAGAATTGACTCGATAGCAGCTGTTTTTATTTTTTATATAGGAGCCCAGGTGGCACGGTGGTTAAAGTGCTTGGCTGCTAACCAAAAGGTTGGTGGCTTGAACCCACCAGCGGCTCTCCTGGAGAAAGATGTGGCAGTCTGTAAAGGTTTACAGACTTGGAAACCCTATGGTGCGTTTCTCCTCTGTCCTACAGGGTTACTATGAGTCAGAATCAACTTGACGGCAGTGGGTTTGGTTGTTGGTAAAATATTCAGGTCACTCTTTGGCTTTGGAAAGTCTTCCCAAGGTTTCTCCTTTCATGTAAAGGAAAGGCCATACATTTCACAAGGCCCTGTGTGATCTACCACACAATGACATCCGTGACCACCTCCTTTTGTCCCCTCTTGCTCATTGAGTTTCAGCCACTCTGGTCTGCTGGTTCTCTACCGTGTTCCGCTACGGGAATTTGCATTCAGTTCCCCCTACCGGGAGTTCTGCTCTACTTGGTAGTCACATGGCTAGTTCCCTCACCCCTCTCAGGGTTTTGCTCAAGTATCACCTTCTCAGAAGTGCCTTTCTTGTTAAAAATGTTAACACCCTTTCTTAGTTATCTAGTGCTGCTATATCAGAAATACAAGTGATGGCTTTAACAAACAGAAATTTATTCTCTCACAGTTTAGGAGGCTAGAAGTTCAAATTCAGGGTGCCAGCTCCAGAGGAAGCCTTTCTCTCTCTGTCAGTTCTGGGGAAAGGTCCTTGTCATCTTTCTTCCCCTGGTCTAGGAGTTTCTCAATGCAGGGACCCTGGGTCTAAAGGACGGGCTCCACTCCGGGAGCTTCTTTCATGGTGGTATGAGGTCTCTCTCCTCTCTGCTCACGTCTCTCTTTTGTAACTGAAAAGAGATTGATTCAAGATACAACAACCTAATTCTGTAGATTGAGTCCTGCCTTATTAACATAACTTCCTCTAATCCTGCCTCATTAACATCACAGAGGTTAGGATTTACAACACATAGGATAATCACATCAGATCACAAAATGGTGGACAACCACACAATACTGGGAATCATGGCCTAGCCAAGTGGACACACATTTTTGGGGAATACAATTCAATCCATAACATCCCCGGACTCTTTTATCTCCCTCTCTGCTTAATTTTTCTTCATAGTATTTATCTCCATTTTACAGATTATATATTTTACTTATTTTCCATCCCTCAGCCTTCTCTTCACCCCACTAGAATGTGAACTTCTTGAGTGCAGGGCTTTTGTCTTTGTTCTCTGCTCTATCCTTAGAATCTAGAACAGTGCCAAGTACAAGTAGACCCTCAATGTATACTTACTTATTGAATGAATGAGTATTTTTAATGATCCATGAAATAAAGTGAGAGTTTGTCTACTGGAAAGTTTCAGCTGGGAAAGACGTTAAATCATGTACTACCTCTATGGCCTTGATGAAGTTAACTAACCTCTCATTTCTCAGTTTTTTTCATCTGTAAAATGAGGTTAACAGTGGTGACTGCTTCATAGGAATATTGTGAGGATTAAATGAGATATAGCATGTAAAGTGGTTAGCAGAATGCTTGAATTACAACGAAAACCCCAAAACAGGCACTCGTATTATTAAGCTCTTTGGAGGCAGGGTGTATATTTAACTTAGTTTTGTAAGCAGTCAAGAAGAGAGTCTGTTCAGTAATCCTTTGCTGAGTTAATTGACAAGAGAGACAGTTGGTAAAGAATTCGGGGATAAGATGATAAAGTTTTAATGTGTAACCCTTTCTGAGGTTTTTTTCTTGTTATAACCAGTATTTTAGGGAGACTACGTTTTTTTAACTTCAAGGAACATGTCTCCAAGGCATTTAATCATATTACATTGCATTGTAAAATAACTACAAAAGTTTTCACAATTTTCATCCCCATCTCTATTCCCATTCCTTCTCTGGGTATTTTTTTTTGAGCAGCTCTGTACCACCAGGCGCTAGGCTAGGTATTGAGGATTCAGGGCTGAATAAGTAGAAATGGCTCCTTCCTTCATTAACCTATGCTCTAGTGAGGAAGGCATATTAAACCTATATCACACAAGTCAATATATAATTACAGTTGAGATCACTGAGCAGCACAATGCCTAACATGTAGTAGGGGCTCACAACCATGTTTGTTGAGTGAATAAATGAAGTATTTGCAGGCATTTAGAAGCAGATAGGGATGATTTTTTGGCCTGGCATGTTGGGGGAACCTGTAATAAACTATTCCCATCGAGTCAGTTCCGACTCATAGCGAGCCTATAGGACAGAGTAGAACTGCCCCATAGTTTCCAAGGAGTGCCTGGTGGATTTGAACTGCCGACCTTTTGGTTAGTAGCTGTAGCACTTAACCACTACACCACCAGGACAGAGACCTTCAAATCCCTACCCACAGCTGCTGTTATGGATTGATTGAACTGTGTCCCCTCCCAAAATGTGTGTCAACTTGGCTAGGCCGTGATTCCCAGTATTGTGTGGTTGTCCACCATTTTGTGATCTGATGTGATTATCCTGTGTTGTAAATCCTAACCTCTATGATGTTAATGAGACAGGATTAGAGGCAGTTACACTAATGAGGCAGGACTCAAACTACAGGATTAGGTCGTATCTCAAGTCAATCTTTTTTGATATATAAAAGAAAGAATCCAGCAGAGAGGAAGGGGACCTCATGCCACCAAGAATGAAGAACCAGGAGGGGAGTGTGTCCTTTGGACCTAGGGTTCCTGTGCTGAGAAGCTCCTACACCAATGGGAAGATTGATGACAAGGACCTTCCCCCAGAGCAAACAGAAAAAGCCTTCCCCTGGAGCTGGCACTCTGAGTTTGGACTTCTAGCCTCCTAGAATGTGAGAAAACACATTTCTGTTTGTTAAAGCCGTCAACTTGTGGTATTTCTCTTATAGCAGCCCTAGATAACTAAGACAGCTGCTAATCGAAAGGCTGGTAGTTTGAATCCACCAGCCGTTTTATGGGTGAAAGATGTGGCAGTCTGCTTCTGTAAAGACTTACTACCCTGGAAATCCTATGGAGTAGTTCTACACTGTCGTATAGAATCGCTATGAGTCGGACTCAAAGGCACACAGCAACAACTATTACGGAGAAATACATAAGCAATATAGAATCATTAAAAAAAAAAAAAATCCTTGCCTACAGGAGTGGACCTGGTACCCAAAGTTCATTTTGGACCCCAAATTCAGATTTTGGTTCTGAAACCCCAAAGGACATACTGGAGGCTGTGAACCCCCAGGGGCTGTGGGATCTGGGGTAATGGTGCTGGACAAGAAAAAGTTAAGGGGCAGCATCTCATGAATTAGCCATAAAGGTTTCTGGGATTTGGTGCTTGGCCTTGGGGATGCAAGTGACAGAAAGTTTGAGGATGACCCTGAGGTTACGAGCTTGTGTGACAGGAGGGTGATGTTTCCTCAATCTCCTTTCCCAGGGCTTCAGCCCCATGTCTGGGCATGGTGGTGGCAGGCCTATTGCAGGGTGAGGGATTCCTTGGGCTCAGAAATAGATGGACCTAATGAACTTCTTCTTCCTCTTGCTGTGTTGAAACTTAACACTTTGCAGGGAAGGAAGTCTAATTGCTACCACTTTGGCCAG